TGAGCTTTTTCAAGCTGCAAGAGGCCTAAGAGAGGGGAAATCTTCCAATGGGGACACTGGTGGGCACTCCAAAGGATTCCCCCTTAATTTTGCAGGGATTTCCCTCCAACTTCCTGTTTGGCTATGGCACAGGAAGTGAAGGGAAATCTCCCCAATGGGACACAGATGGCAAAACATAAAATTAAGGATTCCCTTAATTTGCAGGGATTTCCTCCAACTTCCTGTTTGGCTATGGCACAGGAAGTGAAGGGAAATCTTCCCAATGGGACACAGATGGCAAAACATAAAATTAAGGATTCCCTGTTTGCAGGGATTTCCTCCAACTTCCTGTTTGGCTATGGCACAGGAAGTGAAGGGGAAATCTTCCCAATGGACACAGATGGCAAAAAACATAAAATTAAGGATTCCCTTAATTTGCAGGGATTTCCTCCAACTTCCTGTTTGGCTATGGCACAGGAAGTGAAGGGAAATCTTCCCAATGGGACACAGATGGGCAAAACATAAAATTAAGGATTCCCTTAATTTTGCAGGGATTTCCTCCAACTTCCTGTTTGGCTATGGCACAGGAAGTGAAGGGAAATCTTCCCAATGGGACACAGATGGCAAAACATAAAATTAAGGATTCCCTTAATTTGCAGGGATTTCCTCCAACTTCCTGTTTGGCTATGGCACAGGAAGTGAAGGGAAATCTTCCCAATGGGACACAGATGGCAAAAAAATAAAATCTGCCAGGGGTTACAACACTTGTTTACAATATCCAAAATAAAAAACAAAGGTTTTGCCTTTAGTTCTCTACTTTAAGAGACCAAAACCAGGAGATGTCCATAGGTAGGGCTCACATACACTTTAAGTAGCCAAGGACATGGGCACAAAGCTGGCAAGGGCATCATGGCCTGCATGAACACTTTAGCTACTGTCCCGTTGTGAAGTGAACAAGTATATGTGTTCTGTGGTTGCATATCCTATAAAAAACAAAAAAAAAAAACTAGACTGGAGTTCTTCTTTAACTTGGCCTTTCACACCTCGAGACTGTATTAATTCTGAGGTCAGAGGCACCACGAGACATGAAATGTGTGACAAAACAGCATGAATACATTATCATAATATCGTGGATCCCGCTGGGACGTCTCCTTCCCTGAAAGAGCAGAAAGCGAGGCAGCACTGGAGACAACATTGCAATCTGTTTAGTTGAATTCTGTCAATGTTGGAGCAGTAAAAGCGCAGCGCAAAGCATGCTGGGTGTATTAAGGGAAAGGGCGGCAAAGCTGTAGGGCGAGGGGGGACCAGATGAATGGGAGGGTGGGGTGGGAAGAAGGTAAATTACACACCAATAATACAAAAAGGAAAGACTGCTCGGCCGCTGTGTGCATACTTACATTACAGACTCTTCAGCCAGTGGCGCAGCACAAAGCTCTCAGGCCCTAAAAGTAAAGAACCACCCCGACTCCCAGATACACTAACCAACCCTCACCTGGGGTTTTTTTTTCTTACTAAACATGTGGGGCTTACAGTATAAAGGCTCACACAATTCAACTTTTATTTTTAAATTTTTAGTATACAGGAACTAGTATTTTTTTTTCCTATCATGGGTCTTTATCTCAGCATGCCCTGGAACTACAAGACCCAGCATTTCCAGGAAACCTGTTTTTGAGACTACATGTATCTGCCTGGAGTTAAAGAAAAATTCTCATCAGTAATCAAAAAAAATGTAGCTGCAGGTGTACGGATTCATCTTTACGGTTGTCATTATTGGCTGATCTCGGGCGTGCGCCTGCTACCGGACACAAGCGCTGTCAGTATTCATCGCCTAGTGCGCAGAATGGGTGAACATAGGTGGGGGAGGGAGGTGCAATGTTCACCATGCTAGCTTAGCATTCATAAGATCAGTATAAACTTTACTGGTACAAATGAGAACACGCTCAAGTTAAAAAATAGTGTACATCCCTTTATGCCATCATTAAAATGTAAATGCATCAACATGATCCTTCAAATTCATAAACCCACATGATTACCAACATCTCCTCCTGACTATATATTTTCAAATATCACATACAGTCCACATTTCGTTCACAAAGTATACAACGTACAGATATCACATCACTTATGAGGGGGAATTCTCTTAAAGTTGAGTTCCACCTGACAAAAAAAAAAAAAAAAAAAAAAAGTCAGCAGCTATAAAAACTGTAGCTGCTGACTTTTAAAATACAGCCACTTACCTGTCCCTCAGTCCAGCGGTGTCCTCACCACTGCTGGTTTCACCGGCCGTCTTCTCTCCCTGGCGCCAGCATCTTCAGATTGCGGCTTCACAGCCAGGTGTCCGCTGCGCATGTTTGAGAAGAGCTGCGCTTTGTGAATGGCCCTGTAGTCTTCTCAGGCCTGTAACGTGGCCCAGAAGACTACGGGGAGGAGAGGGGAGGAGAGAGGGAGGGCAGGGAGGAAGAGCAGGGAGGAAGAGAGGGAGGGGCAGGGAGGAAGAGAGGGAGGGGCAGGGAGAAAGGGAGGGAGGGGCAGGGAGGAAGGGAGGGAGGGGCAGGAGGGAGGGGCAGGGAGGAAGGGAGGGGCAGGGAGGAAGGGAGGGAGGGGCAGGGAGGAAGGAAGGGAGGGGCAGGGAGGAAGGAAGGGAGGGGCAGGGAGGAAGGGAGGGAGGGGCAGGAAGGGAGGGAGGGGGGGGGGGGGAGGAAGGGGGGGGTGGGGGGGGGCGAGGGAGGAGGGGAGGGGCGGAGGGAGGAGGGGAGGGGCGAGGGGGGGAGGGGGGAGGGGGGGGGAGGGAGGGAGGGGGGGAGGGGGGGGGGGGGGGGGGGCGAGGGAGGGGCGGGGAGGAAGGGAGGGGGCGAGGGAGGGGCGGGGGGAGGAAGGGAGGGGCGGGGGAGGGGGCGGGGGGAAGGGAGGGGCGGGGAGGAAGGGAGGAGGCGAGAAAGGGGCGGGGGGGAAGGGAGGGGCGAGGGGGGCGGGGAGGAAGGGAGGAGCGAGGAAGGGGCGGGGAGGAAGGGAGGGGCGGGGAGGGGAAGGGAGGGGCGGGGAGGAAGGGAGGGGCGAGGGAGGGGCAGGGGAGGGAAGGGAGGGAGGGGCGAGGGAGGGGCGGGGAGGGGCGAGGGAGGGGCGGGGGGAGGGGAGGGAGGGCGAGGGAGGGGCGGGGATCGGCAAAGGGAGGGAGGCGATCGCAGAGGGAGGGAGGGGAGGCGGATCGGGGAGGGAGGCGATCGCAGGGGAGGGAGGAGGGAGGGAGGGGGAGGGAGGGATCGCAGGGGAGGGAGGAGGGAGGGAGGCGATCGCAGGGGAGGGAGGAGGGAGGGAGGCGATCGCAGGGGAGGGAGGGAGGAGGGAGGGAGGCGATCGCGCAGCGGAGGGAGGGAGGAGGGAGGGAGGCGATCGCAGGGGAGGGAGGGAGGAGGGAGGGAGGCGATCGCAGCGGAGGGGAGGAGGAGGAGGGAGGGAGGGAGGCGATCGCAGCGGAGGGAGGGAGGAGGGAGGGAGGCGATCGCAGCGGAGGGAGGGAGGGGGAGGCAGGCGATCGCAGGGCGGAGGGAGGGAGGCGATCGCAGGGGAGGGAGGGAGGCGATCGCAGCGGAGGGAGGAAGGAGGGAGGGAGGCGATCGTAGCGGAGGGAGGGGGAGGAGGGAGGGAGGCGATCGCAGCGGAGGGAGGGGGGAGGGATCGCAGCGGAGGGAGGGAGGGAGGGAGGGAGGCGATCGCAGGGGGAGGGAGGGAGGGAGATCGCAGCGGAGGGAGGAAGGAGGGAGGGAGGCGATCGCAGCGGAGGGAGGGAGGGAGGAAGGAGGGAGGGAGGCGATCGCAGCGGAGGGAGGGAGGAGGGAGGGAGGCGATCGCAGCGCAGCGGAGGGAGGGGGGGAGGAGGGAGGGAGGCGATCGCAGCGGAGGGAGGGAGGAGGGAGGGAGGCGATCGCAGCGGAGGGAGGGAGGAGGGAGGGAGGCGATCGCAGCGGAGGGAGGGAGGTGATCGCAGCGGAGGGAGGGAGGCGATCGCAGCGGAGGGAGGGAGGAGGGAGGGAGGGAGGCGATCGCAGCGGAGGGAGGGAGGAGGGAGGGAGGAGATCGCAGCGGAGGGAGGGAGGAGGGAGGGAGGCGATCGCAGCGGAAGTGGGAGCGGGTACCCCAAAGGTGCCAATCCTTAATGGGGAGTGGGGGGACCAAGGCTTGAAGCATAACTTCCCTTTTGGGTGGAGCTCCGCTTTAAGTCAACGCATTTCTCGTAAAGCTTCAAGACCAAGTGAGGATCAAGTGGGAAGATAATAGTAATAATTAAATGTGAATAAAACCAGCCTATTAAAGCACATAGATAATTTATACATATTGAAACCTAATTTTTATTATTTACAAAACACACAAATATACAGACATGTGCGATGACAGTATGCATCTAAAGTGGGCAAAAGAAGCGGCAAGAAATGGGGCAATCCCCTGGGAGAGATTCTGGGTTAAACCCGGACCATGAACAAAACCAGCTCAGGAGGGTCCATAAAAAGCTTTACCAGAAACACATTGACTTAAGAGGATCCCTCATCATGAGTTATGTGATAAAGGAACATTGTATACATTATGAACAAAAACATGAACTGTATGCGATATTTGAAAATATATTCGGTTAGTCAGGAAATGTTGGCAGCCATGCAGGTTTATAGATTATTATTATTTTTTTTTTTTTAAATAAAATCACTTTAATAGAATCAGCAGAAAACCTTTCAGCGTCATTCATTAATGTGGATAGCAAGGACAGGCGAGCACTGAAGGCAGTGATTGTAGTGCATTTATCAGAAGACGGGAAGAAACCGTCAACTCCGGGCTACATGTATTCTGATTCCCACGGTCAGCCCTGCACAAAGGTGGGGGGGGGGGGGTTATCCCTCCTCCCAATAAATAATGTCATAAAAGTCTATGGATTATCGTCTCAGGACAGCTGAGTGGAGGATTCTAGGAAGACGTGGTTCACTGGGAAGACCCTCTTCATTGATCCACCTCCTGTCGTCTCCACCAGGAGGATTTTACAGCCGCGGGTGATGCAGCCCTGGAGGAAGTCCTTCAGCTCCCTGGAGCCCCCCGAGCTTGGCTGGCGATCTCAGCTTGGTGTCTAGGTTGTAACAGATGGTGCTGATCCACCGAACGGTGATCCAGGGCTTGCGGGAGATCGGCAGGGAGAAGAAGCCCAACGAGATGGGCAACAGGATGTTCAGGATGAAGTTGAAAATTTCGCTCAACGCCAAACTTTCCAGAGTCCTGCATTTGTCCCACCACAAGGCGGTGTAGTCCAGCATCCGCAGGGCCGCCATGATGACAGTTCCAGATGCCCAGTAGACTACAGTGTGGATTAATGACAGTTTGGGGACATCCCCCAGCAGATCTCCTCGGCCCGGCTCTGACAGTACTCGCCCCTCCGGAGGAGGTTGTTCAGGACATGCACTGCACACAATTCCAGTCGCTAACGCCTGTGAAAAATCCCCGACCATATACTATTTTAACTTGAGTGTATTCTCATTTGCACCAAGAAAATCTGTAGTAATCTTTATTGTATGTTGAAGCTACACAATTATTGGATGTGGTACAGAGGTGGTGGCTATTCCCTAATAAATCCTAACATCAACAGTGATGATTAGACTGCACTTTGTCCCCCTGGAGGACTGGAAAAACTGCATGGTGAGCCTGAAGGTGTGCATGGTGAGCCTGAAGGTGTGCATGGTGCATGGTGAGCCTGAAGGTGTGCATGGTGAGCCTGAAGGTGTGCATGGTGAGCCTGAAGGTGTGCATGGTGAGCCTGAAGGTGTGCATGGTGAGCCTGAAGGTGTGCATGGTGAGCCTGAAGGTGTGCATGGTGAGCCTGAAGGTGTGCATGGTGAGCCTGAAGGTGTGCATGGTGAGGCGACTTCTTCTTTAAGCTGAAACCCAAAGGTTACCTAATCCTGGTCAGCACATACATAGAAACTTTGCTGAAGAAAAGTCGTGAGACAAAACAAAATCATTTTCTTAGATGCAGTAACCAGCCCCATTCATTTTTTTTTTTAATTCAATATACCAGTCTACCAATCGGTTTCCTCAGCTGCTCTTTTCCTGATGAGCCACCTGCTATGTTCAGCCTATCACCTCCTGCTATGTTCCAGAGTCAGCTTATCACCTCCTGCTATGTTCCAGAGTCAGCCTATCACCTCCTGCTATGTTCCAGAGTCAGCCTATCACCTCCTGCTATGTTCCAAAGTCAGGCCTATCACCTCCTGCTATGTTCCAGAGTCAGGCCTATCACCTCCTGCTATGTTCCAGAGTCAGGCCTATCACCTCCTGCTATGCTCCAGAGTCAGCCTATCACCTCCTGCTATGTGCAGGAAGGGAGGCTTGACCACAAAAAGGTCCAATATGTGGAGTCCCCCTCTCTAGGACTTACAACTTGCCTAGTATTCTGGCAGAAATGTTATATATATGCGGAGTTGTCGGGAGATGTCACAGCTGATAGAACACCTCTGTGTCCCTCTTCATCCTACGAGGGGGGTCACATTGGTAGAACAGCTCTGTGTGTCCCTTCATCCTACGAGGGGGGGTCACATTGATAGAACACCTCTGTGTCCCTCTTCATCCTACGAGGGGGGTCACATTGGTAGAACAGCTCTGTGTCCCCCTTTAACCTACGAGGGAGGGTCACATTGGTAGAACACCTCTGTGTGTCCCTTCATCTTACGAGGGGGGGTCAGATTGGTTTTAGAACAGCTCTGCGTCCCCCTTCATCCTACGAGGGTGGTCACATTGGTAGAACAGCTCTGCGTGTCCCTTCATCCTACGGGGGGGGGGGGGGGGGGGGGAGGGTAACATTGGTAGAACAGCTCTGCGTGTCCCTTCATCCTACGGGGGGGGGGGGGGGGTGAGGGTCACATTGGTAGAACAGCTCTGTGTGTCCCTTCATCCTACGAGGGGGGGTCACATTGGTAGAAACAGCTCTATGTCCCCTTCATCCTACGAGGGGGGTCACATTGGTAGAACAGCTCTATGTCCCCCTTCATCCTAAGAGGGGGTCACATTGGTAGAACACCTCTGTGTGTCCCTTCATTCTACAAGGGGGGTCACATTGGTAGAACAGCTCTGTGTGTCCCTTCATCCTATGAGGGGGGGTCACATTGGTGTAGAACAGCTCTATGTCCCCCTTCATCCTACGAGGGGGGTCACATTGGTAGAACAGCTCTATGTCCCCCTTCATCCTACGAGGGGGGTCACATTGGTAGAACACCTCTGTGTCCCTTCATTCTACAAGGGGGGTCACATTGGTAGAACAGCTCTGTCTGTCCCTTCATCCTAAGAGGGGGTCATATTGGTAGAACAGCTCTGTCTGTCCCTTCATCCTACGAGGGGGGTCACATTGGTAGAACAGCTCTGTCTGTCCCTTCATCCTATGAGGGGGGGGGGGGGGTTACATTGGTAGACATGGTGCCCCCATTTTGACCAGGTCCAGTTAGAGTCAGGACTGCAGGGAGCTCTACTGCTACGCCACTGTCTTTAGCTTCTGCAATGTGATCAAAGATTTTTTTTTTCAGTCCAGCAATCACGGTCTTAATCTAACCAATGTGTTTTTTTATAATGAGGTTTTATGGATCAATTCATTCGCAATAAGGGAATATGAAGAGACTTGATTTGAACAAAGTAAAATTCCTTTATATTTTAGAAAAGGGCATCTTGGGGTATAAATGGGGAAAATAGGTACGTGACATGGGAGAGGGGACATGCCAGAGTTGGAGGTTAGGCATAGAAGAAGGGGGTTCTGGGAAATATGTCAGCTGATGTGAGCCTGGGATTCAGGACAGAGTTTGTGACACATGCTGCATATGATTTACCGCAGCCATTGCAATCGCTGCACCTATCACCCTGTCCATTACTTCGCCCAAAATGTTTTACTTGGTAATCCTCACCCGTGAAGAAAATCAAAGATTTTGTACCTTGACATTCTGCTGGGCGTTGTGCCTCTCCTCTCTAGTCTCTGGATCCCAGTCCTTGTCCTCCTCTGCCTCTTCTCCATCATTTTCGTCTTCAGCCTCTTGAGAGCACCTCATATATCCATGACCATGTCCAACCTCATTCTCTGGCAGTTCACATGAGGCCTGTCCCTGCAGTAAAGCCACCACAGCTTCTGTATTTGGCAGTTTTGTGATCCTCGATTGTTTCTTGTAGTGTGGCGTGTCTTTGCGGATCAAACGCTTCTTTCCCGGAGACCCCCTATCTTCGTCATAGTCATCCTCTTCGTCGTCACAATGAACCAGAGTCTCCTCTGCAAAGTGTACTGAGTGCTGCCAAAGAGAGAGAGAGCAAAATGGCTGAGCCGAAAAAAATGGAATCTACAATAAATATGGTTACTACTGCTTAACCCCTCGCCTACCGGGCACTTCTACCCCCTTCCTGCCTACCGGGCACTTCTACCCCCTTCCTGCCTACCGGGCACTTCTACCCCCTTCCTGCCTACAGGGCACTTCTACCCCCTTCCTGCCTACAGGGCACTTCTACCCCCTTCGTGCCTACAGGGCACTTCTACCCCCTTCCTGCCTACAGGGCACTTCTACCCCCTTCCTGCCTACCGGGCACTTCTACCCCCTTCCTTCCTGCCTACAGGGCACTTCTACCCCCTTCCTGCCCACCGGGCACTTCTACCCCTTCCTGCCCACCGGCACTTCTACCCCCTTCCTGCCTACAGGGCACTTCTACCCCCTTCCTGCCTACAGGGCACTTCTACCCCCTTCCTGCCTACAGGGCACTTCTACCCCCTTCCTGCCCACCGGGCACTTCTACCCCCTTCCTGCCCACCGGGCACTTCTACCCCCTCCTGCCTACCGGGCACTTCTACCCCCTTCCTGCCTACAGGGCACTTCTACCCCCTTCCTGCCCACAGGACACTTCTACCCCCTTCCTGCCCACAGGACACTTCTACCCCCTTCCTGCCCACAGGACACTTCTACCCCCTTCCTGCCTACAGGACACTTCTACCCCCTTCCTGCCTACAGGGCACTTCTACCCCTTCCTGCCCACCGGACACTTCTACCCCCTTCCTGCCTACAGGGCACTTCTACCCCCTTCCTGCCTACAGGGCACTTCTACCCCCTTCCTGCCTACAGGGAACTTCTACCCCCTTCCTGCCCACCGGGCACTTCTACCCCATTCCTGCCCACCGGGCACTTCTACCCCCTTCCTGCCTACCGGCACTTCTACCCCCTTTCTGCCTACCGGGCACTTCTACCCCCTTCCTGCCTACAGGGCACTTCTACCCCCTTCCTGCCCACAGGACACTTCTACCCCCTTCCTGCCCACAGGACACTTCTACCCCCTTCCTGCCTACAGGAAACTTCTACCCCCTTCCTGCCCACCGGACACTTCTACCCCATTCCTGCCTACAGGGCACTTCTACCCCTTCCTGCCCACCGGACACTTCTACCCCCTTCCTGCCTACAGGGCACTTCTACCCCCTTCCTGCCTACAGGGCACTTCTACCCCCTTCCTGCCTACAGGGCACTTCTACAACCTTCCTGCCTACAAGGCACTTCTACCCCCTTCCTGCCCACCGGACGCTTCTACCCCCTTCCTGCCTACAGGGCACTTCTACCCCCTTCCTTCCCACCGGGCACTTCTACCCCTTCCTGCCCACCGGACACTTCTACCCCCTTCCTGCCTACAGGGCACTTCTACCCCTTCCTGCCCAGGCCGATTTCCAGCTTTCAGCGCTGTCACACTTTGAATGACAATTGTGCGGTCATGCAACACTGCACCCATATGACATTTTTATCATTTTTTGTGACAGATAGAGCTTTATTTTGGTGGTATTTACTCACCTCGGGTTTTTTTTATTTTTTCTTAACCACTTGAGCTCCTGAGGATTTACCCCCCTTAATGACCACGCCTCTTTTTGCTACTCGGCGCTGCACTAATTCAACTGATAATTGCGCGGTCATGCAATGCTGCACCCAAATGAAATTTACGTCCTTTTTTTCACACAAATAGAGCTTTCTTTCGGTGTAATTTGATCACCTGTGCGCTTTTTATTTTTCACGCTATAAACAAAAAAATGGCCAAAAATTTGGAAGAAAAACAATATTTTTTATTTTCAGCTATAAAAAATATATAGTAAACTCAAAGTTGGTTATAAATTTAGGCCAAAATGTATTCTGCTCCATGTTTTTGGTAAAAAAAAATCCCAATAAGTGTATATTGATTGCTTTGTGTGAAGTTATAGCGTCTACAAAACTATGGTATAGATACTGCAATTTACGCCATTTTTCTGCTATACAGTGCTGCGCTAGTTTAACGGACAATT